TGTTCGATCCATAACTCCTAGCTGAGGGGTTTAAGGGCGAAGCACCATTCCTGAGAAGTGTCAGTTTTTATTTTATTTGTGCTCAAGTCCTGGAGGGGAACTTGAACCTACAACTTTCTAAACTCAGAGGTAAATGTTCGACATTCTGCACCATGGATGTCACCACACAGTGAACTCTCAATGAGTTAAATCCTGGGGGGGTGGGGTGTAGGTGGCCAGCCCAACTTCATGATGAGTGGAGCTTCGAGATAACTGAGGAGTCCTCTTTGTAACCCAATTTGCCTACAAATGCAGTCTGTGGCAAAAAATAATCCCAAAATGAAGATGCAGGAAAGCAGGAAATATGCGAATAATGTCTTTAACCAGTTTGTTTACGCTTTATAAAAGACATTGAAAAAATGGTGGAAATTAACTCCAGGAACAAAAAAGTAATTATTTTGTGCTCAGCTTGGTGTCAGCAGACAAGTGCGGTGCAGTCTGCTGTGTTGTCAATGCAGTCAAATATGTTTCCGTGTTTTCCAGAGCCTCTCTTTGTCCTTCACTGCTCCAGGAGAGCAACAGGCAGATTAAAGGGGGAAGGCAGTCATCAGGGTCCTCAGGACCATCAATCTCCTTTTTTGAAGAATAAGCCACATTTACAACTGCCTCAACTGGACTGTATCATCCACCTCTACTGGATGTCTGGACTGGTTCTCTGTTCTGGAATTTCCATGCCAACCAAACTCAGCTCTCGTGGAGTTACCACTTAGGAATTTCGGTTTGTCACATCATTCTTTTGGATTTGGTGCTCTGTTGGCAGGAACGGCTGATGACTTCAACACAACCTGATTTTTGTGCCATCCAACTTGCCGCAATTTCACTGCATCAGTTTGACCTATTAGGCTGGAAGAAGTCCCATTGTTAAAGGATACATCAAGCTACAAAGGAAGTGGCAGCACAACTTGATACAAATTGAAGAGTTGGCACTGTTCTCCTTGGAGAGAATAAGGCTGAGAAGTGATTTTATAAAGGTTTTCAAAATTGTGAGCAGGCTGGACAGAGTCAATAGGGAGAAGCTGTACCCACCTGGAAAAGGATCAAGAACTAGAAGGGAATAAAAGACAGAAATTGCTGGAAAAGCTCAGCAGGTGTGGCAGCATCTGTGGAGAGAAATCAGAGATAATGTTTCGGGTCCAGTGACCCTTCCTCAGAAACTCCAACTCTGATTTCTCTCCATAGATGCTGCCAGACCTGCTGAGCTTTTCCAGCAATTTCTGCTTTTGTTTCTGATTTTCAGCATCCACAGTTCTTTCAGTTTTTATTACAAACTAAAAGGAATAGATTTAAAGTGACATGCAAAAGAAACAAGTGTGATCTGAGAGAAAAAAATGTTTTCACGCAGCAAATAGTTAAGTTATGGAACACACTGCCCGGAAATGTGTGCGAGGGAATGCGGAAAAGGCAGGAGGCTGGCTCAAGGTCCCCCCATCTCACTGACCCACCCCCCCAACTTCCTACCTCCTCGCCTCATCCCCGCCTCCTTGACCTGTCCGTCTTCCCTCCCACCTACCCGCCCTTCCCTCCCAACTGACCAACCCCCATCCCAACATCCCTACCTACACTCCCCACCTTTACTGGCTTCATCCCCGCCTCCTTGACCTGTCTGTCTTCTCTCCACCTATCTGCTCCTCTATCCACCTTCTACCATCACCTCCCCCTCTCTCTATTTAGTTCAGAGCCCCCTTCCCCTCCCCCATTTCTGAAGAAGGGTCTAGGCCCAAAACGTCAGCCTTCCTGCTCCTCTGATGCTGCTTGGCCTGCTGTGTTCCTCCAGCTCTACACCTTGTTATCTCAGATTCTCCAGCATCTGCAGTTCCTATTGTCTCTGGCTCAAGGTAATGATGCTTTCTTGAAGAGCCAGTGCAGGCACCATGGCCTCCTTCTGCATCATTACAACTCTGCGATTCTATGATGAAAGGAATTGTCAGCATAAAAGGAAGTGCAGTACTAGTGTAAAAGGACATACCAGGAGGTACCAGGTTAATTGTAGTCTGACACTAATCTTTACCACAAAACAGTAAGAAATTTCATATTGTAAGCATTTGTACTCTTCTAAATGTTGAGGTACTTTTAACACCATTAGCATTCCATTGACTGCAAACAAGCAACTTTTCTTCCCTTGCTAACACTGCATTGTGTAAACCAATCAACTACAGTAAGCCAGCAGCATTTCAGACAATGGACTAAGGCCAGACACTAAGGGCCTGTTGCCATAGTGCAGTGAGGGGCTGGAACCTGTGTAAAAACCCAGAGGCTGTATGTTTGACATGAAATGCAAATTGTAAAGATAACTTATAACGATAGTGACACACAGTGTATTGAAGAAAGTTGGATTGTATAGAATCTTAAATGTAAACTGGTATATCATGTACTCCTAAAAATATTTTGAATAAAGTATATACTTGGGAAAAAGCTTGCAACCTGATGAAGAGTGTAAAGAGAGAATCCACCAAATAAAATAGAAAGGGCCTTCAGTTTGGCTTGTATGCTCACCCCAATGATTGATGCAGCATTCAGTGTAATGCTGTGTGTTACAGACACTACATCAGTCTGGCCTGCACTAGCTGATCTCAAATGGCCGCAACGTCACTTGGTTGGAGGTGGAGGGAGGGGGAAAGGAAGGTGATGCAGGTGTTACAGCTCCTGGCCACACTGCAGTCACTCCTGGTGGAACACAGCAGGTCAGACAGCATTAGGAGAGCAGGAGAGTCAATGTTTCAGGCCTAGACCCTTCATCAGGACTGGGGAGGGGGAATGGAGCTGGGAAAGAAAGAGGGAAGAGGGGTGGGGCTGGGGGAAGGTAGGCAGGATGGTGATAGGTGGATGCAGGAATGGGTAGTAGGAATTGGTTGGTGGGAAGGGTGGGGCAGATAGTTGGGGAAGAAGATGGATAGGTCATGTCAGGTCAAGGAGGCAGGGATGAGAGGGAGGGTTGGACATGGGATGAGGCTGGGGGTGAAGAGATTTTGAAACTGGTGAATTCTCTGTTTAGGCCATCGGGCTGTAGACTTCAGAGGTGGAATATGAGATGTTGCTCCTCCAGTTTGCATGTGGCATCATTGTGACACTGGAGAGGCCCAGGATGAACATGTCACACATGGTAGTGGGAAGGGGGAGCTAAAATGGTTGGTGACTGGAAGGTGTTGTTGATTACAGTGTACGAAGCGCAGGTGCTCTGCAAACCTGTCACTGAGTCTACGGTTGGTCTCACTGATGTACAGGAGGCCACATCGGGAGCAATAGATACAGTAGACCAGGTTGGAGGATATACAGGTGAATCCTGTTGGAAATGGAAAGTTTGTCTTGGGCTTTGGATGGAGGTGAGGGGTGAGGTGTAGGGGCATGTGTAGCACCTCCTGCAGTTGCAGAGAAAGGTGCTGGGTGTGGTGAGGTTAGTGGGGAGTGTGGAGTAGACTAGGGAGTTGCAGAGTGAGCAGTCCCTGTGAAACGCAGATAGAGGTGGGGAGGGAAATATGTCTTTGAAGTGGCAGAGAATGATACGCTGGATGCAGAGGTTGGTCGGATGATATGTGAGGACCAGGGGGACTCTGTCTTTATTTTTGTTGTGAGGAGGGGTTTTGAGGGCAGAAGCGCATGAAATGCAAGAGATGCAGTTGAGGGCAAATTTGATTAATGGAGGGAGAAAGTTGCGATCCTTGAAGTAGGAGGACATCTGGGATGAAGTGGAACGCTCCATCTTGGGAGCAAGGGATCACATTCTTGCAGAATGGTGGATGAGAGGAGGTGTAGACAAGGTAGTTGAGGGAGTCGGTGGGTTTGAAATAGATGTTGGTGCTGAGATAGTTACTAGATTTGAAGACAGAGAGGTCCAGGAAGGGGAAGGAGGTACCAGAGATGGTCCAAGTGAATTTGAGGTTGGGGTGAAAGGTGTTAGTAAAGTTGATGAACTGTTCAAGCTCCTCATGGGGGCACTAGTCAGCATCGATACAGTCATCAATGTGGTGGAGGAAGAGGTGAGGGATACTGCTGGCGGAACAGTTCCACGTATCCTATAAAGAGGCAGGAATAGCTCAACCCATGCAGGTGCCCATAGCCACCCCTTTAGTTTGTAGGAAGTGGGAGGATCATAGAGTCCCTAACAGCATGGAAACAGGCCATTCAGCCCAACAAGTCCACCCTGACCCTCAGAGCATCTCACCCAGATCCATCCCCCTAAAACCCACCTAATATACACATCCCTGAACACTACAGGCAATTTAGCATGGCCAATCCACTTAGCCTGCACATCTTTGAACTGTGGGAGGAAACCAGAGCACCCAGAGGAAACCCATGCAGACACGGGGAGAACATGCAAACTCCACACAGACAGTTGCCCGAGGGTGGAATTGAACCCAGGTCCCTAGTGCTGTGAGGCAGCAGTGCTAACCACTGTGCCACCCTAGTCAAAGGAAAAGTTGTTGAGGGTAAGGACAAGTTCTGTAAAGTGGATGAGGCTATTGGTGAAGGGGGACTGATTGGGCCAGTGGGAGAGGAATCCCACCAACCTACACCCCTCTTCCCTCTATGTATTTCCCAGCTCCCACCCCCCTCCCCAGTCCTGATGAAGGGTCTGTGCCCGAAATGTCAACTTTCCTGCTCCTCTGGTGCTGCCTGGCCTGCTGTGTTCATCCAGCTGCACACTGTGTTGTCTCTGACTCCAACATCTGCAGTTCCCAGTGACTCCCGTTTGTGGGAAAGTGCGAGGGTAGAATCTGTCATCGGAGGGTCTGACATGTCTGTGATGTGATGCTTTCACAGTGAAAGAGCTGGCTGAAGGTCACCACATGGAGTTACACCTGAAAAGTAGCTCATTTAGTTAGGGGGCGGAGGGGAGAAATTACTTGGTGCTTTTAAGGCCTGCTCCCCATCATGGCAGCATTCCCAGGGGTAGTGGGGTTTAAGTTTGGAGTGGGGGGGGGGGGAGAAGAAAGTTGGACAGGAACTGTACACAACGGCAGTAAAAGTGAATCCTGGTATACAGCAGACATCTTATTGTTAAAACAAAAGCAAGTCATTTCAATACATTCTGTAAAAGTGAGAACAAAGGTACTGGGTTCATTGTTGATGTTCATTACTAACTAGGGTACAATGTTGTTGGCTTTCTCAACTCCAGTGACTCTCTTTCGTGCCTGCTTTAGTCCCAAGACTTTTATTTAGGGGTGGTGTTTACTGTCAGGATCTACAGCAGCAGACTGTGATCCCTGGACGATTAGCCGAATTCCACTGGTCGAAAGGATCTTTTTGGGACTCCCAGCCCTTGTGTAAAGTGGTGCGGGTTGGATAGAGGCGCTGGGCTGGCCGAGGTTAACAAACAAGAGCCTCCCCGGGCACTGTAGGAGCATTAACATGCGGGGCAGTAACACTGGATTACCAGAAAGCAAAGTGTACATCAGGGGAATCAGTCACCTTTACATTCGATTAGAAAAGTTGTTGCACATGAAGAAGCGCCTGTGACTTTAAAATAAAACGCGGCTGGAATGAATGAGCTTCCTCAGTGTTGTTGGAGGGGGCTGTATGTCTGGAAGGGAACTGCAGTGACTTAGGAGTGTTGCAGAAACAATGGCGTGAGAAGTAGCTCAGAGGTTTCCTCCCCACAGCAGCCAGAGTTGCTTCCTGTTGGAATTGCTGAGACTTGAAACGTTGCTTCAGTCTGGATTCCAGCTCCGAGTGGTTTCAGGAACTGTTCAGGCTCCTCCTTCACTGAGAGAGAGAGAGAGAGAGAGAAGGAATCAGTTTCTGTACCAAATATGGCCATGAAATGACATCACTGCTTCAGGAGGCCGGCACTTTTGCACAGCAATCCCACCTTTCATTGTTAAAACACTTTACTTTGGAGGGGAGGGGTGGTAAGGAATGTGATGGTGAAAATGTTGGGGGGGGTAGTTTTGGGGTTGGCTGGGGTCTGCAGCAGGATCTGTGCACTGCTCAAGCTAAAGGGAGTTTACCGGAGCCCTGCTGCCCTGGACTCTACACTTCTAGGAAGGTAAGAGAACGTGGCTTTTCACTTTCTTCTGTTCGCTTCGGCGCTGGGAGTTAGGACCTGTGAGTGCGTGTGTTCCCAAAGCTGGAAGGGGTTTCCGATCTGGTCTCTCTATTGGCGCAGAGAGAGAGAAGCAGACGGACAGAGAGCATGATTAGGACACAGAGAGGAAGAGATCAGGACGGACAGAGAAAAAGAAACTAGGATAGAGAGAGATCAGGTCACAGCGAGTGAGAACGGGATACAGAGAGAAAGAGATCAGGACATAGCAAGAGAAAATTGAGGCAGAACAGGACACAGAGAGAGAGAGAGACCAGGATATATATACATAGAGAGAGAGATTAGGATACAACGAAAGAACACAGTGTCAGAGAGAGCAATCAGGAAAAAGAGAGAAAAAGAACAGAACAGAGAGAGATAGTAGGAACTGCAGATGCTGGAGAATCTGAGATAACAAGGTGTAGAGCTGGAACAGAGAGAGACCAGGATAGAGATCAGAGAGAGATCAAGACAGAGAGTGAGAGATCAGGAAAGATAGCTATAGAGCAGATCAAAGGGAGAAAGAGAACAGGAAAGAGAGATAGAACAGTGCAAAATACTGAGAGTGAGCTGAACAGAAAGAGAGAGAGCAGCAGGATGGATCAATTACATAGGATATACAGGCCATTCAGCCCAATAGCCCATGCTGGTGTTTGTGCCACCTCCCCTCCTCCTTCATTGTTCCCTTCTCCTTCAAAGCCTACTCTAGCATTCCCTTGAATTCAGCTCCATTACTCACTCCAGCCACTCCCTGTGGTCGCGCGCTCCACATTCTCATCATTCTTTGGGTAAAAAAGTTCTGAGCTCCCAATTGGATTTTTTGGTGACTATTGTATATTCATTGCATTTACTTTTGCTCTTCCCCACAAGGGGAAGCATCTCTCTGTATCCGCTTTATCCAGAGATTTTGAAATTTTAAAAATCCCTCATTAGGTCACCCCCCCAGCCTCCATTTTTCAAGAGATAACCATTTTGTGATAAGTCTACAAAGAGCAGGAGAGAGAGAGCAGAGCAGAGGGAGAGAGACCACAAGATGGATAGGAAGGAATAGGACAGGAAGAAAGAGAAGGAGAAAGCAGGGTAGAGGGGAAGAGTAAGAGAGAGAGGATAGGATTGCAGGATTGAGAGAGAGAGAGAGGATGGAGAAGCTGTGGAAAGGATACTGCAGTAAATGATCAAATCCAAGTAATGCAAAGCTGTGCTGTTTAATCATCTGGCTCTGCAGCTATCACAGGGGCTTCAGGTTAATCGGGGGGAGCTCACAGACCTTTTTGTGTGATCAAGCAACTGTTCACACCAACAGTGGCAGAGAAAGTTGTCATAATGCTTGCATTTCATAAAGAGTGAAGCAATCCTTACTTTTAGCATTGTTGAAATGAAACATCACATCAGTCCTATATCTGAAGGAGTTGAGTGGGGGAGCTCAGGACCGGGGGATGTCTCAGTTACGCTGAGATTTATGATCATTATGTGTGTGTTTTGTTTTCTGATCAGCTGTGAGCTTTTGCAGTCATAGTCACATTGTGCTGTGAGGCTGCCTCTGCAGAGGAATTGTTCAATCATGCAGAATAGAGAAGGGAAAAGATCTCCAGTATTTTGGGTCCTGACACAAAGCGAGTGAGGGGGTTGGGAAAGCAGGGGGCATATCTAACTTCTGCAACTGTTTGCATAAGCCGTTTTGATGGGATGTACTTTTCTAGGTAGCTTTGGATCACAGATAGATTGAAGTAACCTTAATAGGTGTTGTATGTTCTTCTATTCGCCAAACTTTATTCAGGCATTGAATTACTGCAAAAATAGATAAGATTTCAGAAAACAAGATCATGCAAGACATAATAAAAGCACAATGGCAAGTACCATGGTACTGAACAAAAACAGAAGTTGCTGGAAAACCTCAGCAGGTCTTGCAGCATCAGTGAAGAAGAAATCAGAGTTAATGTTATGGGTCCGGTGACCCTTCCTCAGAACTCCATGATACTGATACTGACATCTACAGGAGCTAGTTAATTGGTGCTTTCTTGGTGAGAGGAGTTCAGACATGAAAGTCTTTCATCTGTGATTACTTTAATCAGAACTACTTCTGACTCAAAATAATAATAAAAAGGACGGGAAGATCTCTTTATTAAGAAAAAAGTTTGTCAACCAGCCTATCCACTTATTTTGCTTAGATTTATTGCCTAGCTACATTGTTTCCACAGTAAAAGGCTGGTGAAAGATGGTGTTGGATGCTGCAATGTGGCTCAGTGAGAGCAGGTAGCTTCAATCTGACACACATCATGAGGAACTGGTCCAACTGAAGGAAAAACATCATTTTTTTTGTTAACTGATATAACATGACTTTTGCTTCTGACACAGACGAACTTGACCCACTGTGCACTGTCACTTGTCTAATCATTGATTGACTCTGACAGCAACCACAGAGAGGGTTCCTGAATATGTGGAACTAACTGACAGTTAATAAGCGTCTGGCATTACAACAGAAGTACAGGCTGCTTGTTCTGTCTTGTGCAATTTACCTGTGTATCTTGCTCACAATGACAAAAGAATGGGTTCAGCCTGCAGTCTGACCTCCGAACAGTATTGACGACTAAATTCTCAATTGCTTCAGTTGCAGACAATGTCCCCTTTATTGTCTCAGCTGGTTGGACACATAAAGGCATCAGACTCGATCCCTCCTCTCCTGCTCCCGGTCTCTGCCCCTGCTGTACCATTAGCCCATTAAATGAGTGCTCGTCATTATTGAGGCTGTTCAGTCACAGGGCAGCATCACAACTCTGATCATGCAGACCCCTTGCATGCTGTTTCCAGCAAATATGGCGAGATACTGAAGAGGAGGAAAAATCCCGGGATTATTTCTCTTTTCCTCTGACCAGAGGTTACTAAGGGCGAAAAGGTTGAGATGCACCTACTTATCTCTGCAATCTGGACGCTTCCATTCCAGAGCTGGACTGAGCCACTGCTTTCCCTGCAAGAGGACATAGAGCAGGATGTTAGTCTATGAAACCCTGAAACAATCCAGAGCACAGTGACTGCCTTACAGAACTGACTGCCCAGTTCATTCATTAAAAACTGAGGAGGTGCCATTTATTTGTCCAACAAGCAAAGTAATGTTGATCTCCTGAGTTATGTACCAGCAGGGACATAAACGTGGCACATGCCAGAAAACATAAATCATGAACAGAGTGAATGTTTTGATGTGTTCACTTGGTAGCAGTACCTAATTCTTTTTAGCTCAAATTTCAGGTGACAATATGCTTTGCACGTTATTATTTACAGTATTTTCTCAAAGACCAAGAACGACATTTTTCTTTTGAAGAACTAAGGTTCCATTTTAAAATAGCTCTACACAGTGTATCATGTTCTTAAAGACAAAGTATCAGCCTTGAAACCAGACATTTTCTTACTTGGCCATTTTGTTCAAATTGCTAGTTCATCACCTGTATTGAAGCACTGAAGAGCTGGAATTGTCACCAGCACAAAGTAATAATTTGCATTTATATTGCATCTGTAATGTAGCAAAATCATCCAATTCTGCTTTTCGTGTGTGTTACCAAGTTAAAAAATGCTCCAAGCCACAGGAGCTCACATCAGAACAGGTGGATGTCAATGAGATGGGCCGTTGGGCAAATCTTAAAGGAACGCGGAGAGCCCGAAAGTTTTGCCCAGATTAAAGTGCTCCTTTGCAACAGGTCCCATGTGGTGGGTATCAATGTAATAATTCCTTCAAGTGAGAGCTGGGCCTGTTTCTGATTGGGGCAGAAAATCGTCTCTTACGAAATTGGGGAATTCAGGGCAGTGGGAACTTCTGGATGAGTTTCAGTTGCTTAGATGTGACCATAGGGAATTCCCCAGATGAGTTTTTTTTCTCTCCCTTGAGTTGATTTGTGCTTTTATCTGGTTCTTTTCCCCTCCTCTCAAATGAGATTGCCTGGTTTTGGGTGGAGCGAGAAGGGTGTTTATTCTCGTCCAAACGTAGCACCGGCTGGAATCTTCACCTGTTTCGCATTTGAGCACGAGTCGGTGTGTTCACCTGACAGCCACAGTGTGCACTTTGTAGGAGGGTTCAGAAGCAGGACATGAGCAATAACAGCTTCCATCACAGACCATAGTTTTATGGCCTGTAGGGTACAGCTCATCCTCTGTTAGATAGTGGCACAGTGGTAATGTCACTGGTCTAGTAATTCCCGAACTCCAGGCTATTGGTCTGGGAGCAATATTCAAATCTCCACCACAGAAAATGGTGAAATTTGAATTCAATATAAGTCTGAAATAACAAGCTGGTTCATTGGTGACCATGTAATCAGTGTTGACTGTTGTTTTAAAAAAAAAAATCTGGTTCGTTAATTTCCTTCCGGGAAGGAAATCCACCATCCTTACCCAGTCTGGCCAACATGTGACTACAGATTCTCCACAATGTGTTTGACTCTTGACTGCCCTCTGTGCAATTAGGGATGGGTAATAAATATTGGCCTGGCCAACAATGCCCACGTCCCATGAAGTAATTAAAAGAAACAGCCTGCTGAGTCAGTGGAGGTGGGGGGATATTTTTAAGAGTGTGTCAGCCATGATAACACACTTGTCTGTAAGTCGCCATGTTCTCGTCTAAGGACTGAGCGCAAAAAAATAAGATTCTCACTTTAGCCCTCCAAACGAAGCTGTCAAAGTTCTCCATGGTACTGTGTTGACAAAGTGCATTTGCGTTATTCTCATTGTCCTGCTCAATATTAGTTCCTCAACCACAAGCACCGAAGCAGGTTACCTGGCCAATATCACATTGCTGTTTGTGGGATAGTAAGAACTGCAGATGCTGGAGTCAGAGACAATTACAGTGTGGAGCTGGAGGAACACAGCAGGCCAGGCAGCATCAGAGGAGCAGGAAAGTTGACGTTTCGGGTCGGGACCCTTCTTCAGAAATTGGGGGGGGGGGGGGGGGGGGGGGGGGGGGGAGGTTAGTTTGTGGGAGCTTGCTGTGCACAAAAGTGACTGTTCTATTTTCTGCATTAAAACGGTGACTACAATTCAAAAGTACTTAATTGGCTGTTTATAAACGTGAGTCTTTCGTTTTTCACATGATCTCCATTAAAGTGATGTTCTCACAATGCAATAGCAGGTTCCACCTCCTTTATGCCATTGATCCAAACCAAACCCAGTTCACCCTAATCTTGTGCATAATCATGGTACACATTTAAATGCTGCAGAGATGAAAGCTCGCACATGGTAATATTTTCTTCAAAGTGGTGAACACCATATCTATTTTTAAATCAAGTGTACCCCTCAGAGTCAATATATTTTTTTTTAAAATATGCATTCGGGATATCAGACGGGTTAGTTCAGGGTTTTACTACCTCAGTCCTTGCTCTGAATAGATATTTTTGAATTACATCTTGTGGTCTGCTAATACTTAAAACTAAAATATATATTTTTTCACATGTTTTCTACTTCACTGGAGATCTTGCTACTTACCATGCTATGGGTCCATGAACCATGGTCAGTGTTCAGTAAGCTATCCATTGGCTAATCAGTCAATGAAAGTGGACTATTCAACCATGGGAAGGGTAACTGACCCTTTTCCACCCTGTGCTCACTGGAGCCTTTGTGTTAGGTTTAGATGTATACAGTTCCCAATCTCTGGCCATTGGGATTGAGCTCAACCTTTGCATGCCTCCCCACCCTTTCCCAACTAACAAGCTGAATAATTGAGTTGGAAATCACCAACAACGCTTTACTCACCCTCTCTTCCAAACTGAACCCTTACATAGAAGCACTTGGACAAAGCTGGCCCTTTTACTTGGGCCTTATCCGGGGCTCATCAGTTTCGGGTTTGCCATCCATACTGCTTATACCACACCTGCTGTAATCTGATTGGCAAGGAGCTGTGTGTATGACTATGCATCCATCAGTGCCATAGACTCTACAGAGTCAATGATGGAGTTTCCGCAGTGTCAGGAGCCCCAGCTGCTATTGATTTGGCCCGAGTAGCAGTGATTCTGTGGTCAGAATTCTAGCCAAGTTGTAGTTCAATGTGGAATTTTCTCAGGGCGTTCATTAGAGAGAATAAAGAGTTCACATCACATGTTTTGTGTGTTTGTGTGTGTGTGTGTTTGTGTGAGTGTGTGTGTTCTGTCCGTCAATCTCTCACACTCTGCTGTCGGTTGCTGATGTGCCTACTCACAATGCATGGCACAGGTTTGAGTAAAGGTGATTAAAAACAGTTTGCTTGTGTGGACAGTAAATGTGAACAGGGACTGATTGGGCCTCTGTCTGTGTTGTAATTTCTCTGTGTGCAGAAGATTAGGCAAAATGGTTTATGGTGTATTCTCGGGAGAAGTGTGGTAGGTTCATGATCTGGAGCTGGTTTGCTGATGGTACAGTTCCATTTTGCACGGAAGGTCTTCACTTCCAGTGGTTTCTGGGAGCAGTGCACCTCCCTAGGAGGACATAATTGAGGAATTTCCCCATAGGTCTGAAGTAATAATAGTGAAGGTGAGTACATAGAGTTGAGAAATGTATCTAATCATGGACTTCATTGAATGGCAGTACAAACTCAGAGGGCTGAATGGCCTCCTCCTGCTATTAAAGCTCAACCCAAATGCAGAAAGTTGTACAAGAGATTTTTAAACCACTACAAAGCACTCACTAATGTGAGTTCTAAACAAAGAAAGAAAGTCTTGCATCTATGTAGGGTACTTCATGACCACTAGACATCTCAAAGGGCTTTACAGCCAACGCATTTGAAGTTTTTAATGTAGGAAATAGTATAAAGAAAAGGTTGGAAAAGATTGTCATGGGCCACTCTTGAACCTTGCCTGGGTGGGGCAAACGCTTTCAAGAAATTCCAGGATTTTTTACCTGACATGCCTGGACCATATATCATGATTACATTCAGGGCCATTGCTTTCTATTTTTGGTCTGTGGGATACCAGGGAGTTCATTAAGTGCCTTTAGAGCTGAACACCAGAATTGCATCAAAAGCTGTGTGGAGGAGAACCATGTCCATGAGGGACACCCTTCCGTATGCGAAACACTGTCTGGGCCAGAGAGATAAGAAACCAAATAAAATATTTTTACTGGGACGATATCTAGAGATCACCGGCTTTAGTTTGCCAGAATCATCATTGGCAGTGGTGGGGGTGGGGGAGAAATTATTTTGGTACCTTTCCATTCACTGCCAATATCTTAAGCTTTGGAATTTGTCCCTAGACCTCATCATCTCTCATGCCTCCTTCAGGACTTTGAACCTGTCTCATCGCCTACCATAATATCAGTTTGTGGCTCCATGTTTCAATTCTGGTTCATACTGCTCCTGGCCACAAAGCATCTTGGGACATTTTATGATGTTAAAGGCATTATATAAATAAAAGCTGTTGTTGGAACTGGATGCATTCCAGTCTAACGTTGTACTTTTAAATTGGAAGAGGAGGAAGAAAGGATAAAAATGTTGAAAATACAGTTTTAAAAGGTTGTCTATGCCAAAGATTATACAATTCCTAAAATTTATATAACTTAAATTATCAGCGCCCTGAAAGCTCACAGGGAGTAAAGTGTCCTGTTTGTAAACGTGCTTCAGTAAGATACAGCCTATCATGCCTTATTCACACACATCCTTTGTTTTGTTGTGGCTTTTCAGGGCGTGCTGTAAAAACAGGGACAGTTTGACTTAAAGCTGCTCTGCCCATTTAAACATTTATAATGCCTTTACTGATTAGTCCTGGCTTCTCGTTACCAGGCAAATTGAGGGGCTGTTTGGGAGGTTTACCTCCTTCTCTCACCAACACCAAACCTATGACTTACTCAAACACTTACACCAACCCTGTCGCAGTGACAGGTCTGGTTAGAGTTGCCAGCTTTGGCTGGATGTATTCCTGGAGATTTCGTCACATGATCTCTTGCCCCCAACTGGTCAACCAGCCTTTTCCCAGAACACACCCTCAATGCCCATTCCCCAGTATGTTTAAACACTCCTGTTTATTTGTTTGCAAAGACAGTGAGAAAGAGACTCGGTTCTTTTATCACCACTGTGATATTCGTTCTGAATTGCTGATGGCAGTGTAATTGTAGAGAGTTGTGTGCTAGGTTTAGCGCAGGCATGAGAAGCTGACTTACCCAATGCCTCTCACACCAACCTGCCAAGGAGTGAACAGTGCTATCTGAGGCACAGTTTGATGAAGCAGACAGGACTGACCTAACTGGAACAGGCACTCACCCACCACTGCTGGAGAGCTCACCTTTCACGTGGAGGACAGAAGCTGGTTTGGTTACAGTCACAAAAACAAGCCAACAAGAAACAAGGTGCCCTCAGGGTGTGGCAGAGAAGCATTTGGTTAGACGGTGCTATCACGGTGGGTTAATTGTACCCAGTATGTGGCAGTGCCATTAGGAAAGGACAGCTGAACCATACTGGTAGAGGTGGTAGTGAGGAAGGCTGTTCTGGTGATAAATCTCCAACGTGCAATAATTGAAAGCCATTGCCAGGGATCAGTGTTCCCTAAATGTGCCTTTTTACAAGTTATCATGAGCAAGACGGAGGATCCCAGCAACTTACACTGAACAGCAAGGAGTGTATTTGTGCCTCACAGAAGGTTCAAGTCTCTGTGATGCTGTGTTGCCGGGGTTTCTGTTGATAAGAATAGCAGCCCAACAGGCTGCCTTTTACAGTATTCACTGCAGAAGCTGCATCACTTAACCACTGCAGTCTTTACAACAGTACTGCACGCAAAGGCTCTGCAGTGAATTTCATGTGTAGGATGTTTACTCTGTTTAAACCCCTCACATGCAAAATATTTCTTCGATTTATAGTCATAACTGTGCCTGTTCACTGTCTAAGGCTGACAGAAATTGCAGGGCCTGAGTTGGGCCATTTTAAAACCATCCAAGCCCCCAGAATCACAATAAATCAGGACCTAGCAACATTTTAAAAAAATCTTTCATGCAGAATGGCCAGTATTTGTTGCCAATCCATAATTGCCCTTAAATGGAATGGCTGACTGGGCTAATTAAGAGGACAATTAGGAGTGAACCACATTGGTATGGGCTTGGAGTCACATGTGAGTCAGACTGATTAAGGACGGTAGATTTCCTTGCCCAAAGGTCATTAGTGAACCAGACAGGAGACTAACTTTATGCATTACAGACTTTTATTATTGAGTTTAAATTCCACCAGCTGCTATGGTGAGATTCGAACCCTTGTCCCCAGACCAATAGCCTGGGGCTCTGGTTATTAGACCAGAGACTTCACCTCCCTTTGATATATGTAATCGGCACATCGGTATGCAGTGAACTGTACAACTCCTTCACGTGAGCATACACCTTTATTTTGAGAAGCTGCTGTTCATTTACTCATGAATGTATAGCACCCAGGATTTATTTACATACGAATGGCTATAATTGATCTACCACAGGAGGGTTTGCAAAGTTAGTACTTTTAGGATAGGAGGGAAGATCACTTCCCTAGACAAGAGGTTATTTAACAAAATAAATAACAAGAACTTTACTTGCAACATTCAAACTTCTTTGGTGAATGATGTGCAGGCTCTGACTGCATGAGGGCCTCAGTTTTTGTGGACATTGACGGATGTGAACATTGGTAGGAAGGCTAGTTTTTATTGCTGTGGCTTATAGCTATTCCTGCCAAAAGTTAGACCATAGAATCCCTACAGTGTGGAAGCAGGCCATTTGGTCAGTCTGCACTGACCCTCTGAAGAGCATCCCATCCAACCTAATCTCTATAATGCTGCATTCCCCCAGGCTAATCCACTGAGCCTGCATATCCTTGGACACTATGGGCAATCTAGCATGGCCAATCCACCCTATCTGCACATCTTTGGACTGTGGAAGGAAACCAGACCACTTGGGGGAAACCCATGCAGACTCCACACAGGCAGTTACCTGAGGCTGGAATTGAACTCGGGTCCCTGGCACTGTGAGGCAACAGTGCTAACCACTGAGCCACCGTACCACCCAAGTTCTGTTATTGTGATACACCATGCTCCTCTGCCGTATGTCATCCTCAAACATACACCATAGCTTGTCTTCAACCAGCCTGACATTCATTGTCTATCCTTAATTGCCCTGAAAAAGGTGATGGTAAGCCACCTTCTTGAACCACTGCAGTCTTTGGGATGTGAGGAGGGAGTTCCAGGATTTTGACCGAGAAACCCAATAATATTGTGTTGCAACTTGGAGGGAAACTAGCGGTGTTCCCATGCATCTGTTGCCAATGTCCTACCAGGTGATAGAGGTTGCTGGTATGACCATTATTGTCCAGGGGGCCTTGGCAGTGCAAGTTGCCACAGTAAGCCTTGTAGATGGCTCGCAATCATGCTACTGAATGCTGCTGCACTGTGCAGTGAGTCACTCTGAAGGGCATTCCCCCCTTTAGCCTTCTGTTCAACTAAATGCAGGTTTAAAAGATTTATTGAAATAGTTGGGCTCTTGTGTGGCACAGCCACGTTAAATCATACCAGGATCACTTGTTTTCTGAATTTTGAGCCTGCCTTGAGGTTGAGCAATGCGAAAGGGAATATATTCTGCAGATCTTGAGGGATTGATCATTTTGGTGGAAAGATAGCCATAATCCAACCCAGACAGATTAAATGGAAAGATTAGTGCTGCTCAGCCTTGAGTAAATGGCCAAAAGCAATTCCGTTTAGATTGATCTGGTGAACGATGTTGGGCAGCTTTTCAGTGTTTGTCACCATTTGCACAGGAACTGGCAATAATTCTGCATAAATTTATTGAATGTACAACTTCAGTCTGTATCTAGAATCTAGACTCTCAAGTCAGAAGATATATAAATAAACATTTTACTTACCTGATTCAAAAATTTAACTTTAAGAACATAAACATCATTTCTCTGCTGTTTTTGTACCTCAGCCGTACACAGCTGATTGGCAGAAACTTCCCATTTCTCTCTGTTTTCATGAGATACAAAAATGGGGGGAAGTGAGAATGCGTGAGAGAGAAACAAATTCTGTCCTTAAGTTTAAAGAGTTGTCAAAAAATCCTAATTCATCAGTGTCCAACACTCCATAAACTGCGACGTTTGGCATTGTTTAAATACAATGCAGCACTAATTCACCATTTTAATTTCTGGGTCTATGAAAAATGCGCCAGACAATGGGACTGTTTAAAATGAATTGGCAGAATTTTTCTTGGCCAGGGACTCTTGCATTAACTGAACTGTAGGCTGATTTGTTGGGATTCTGAAGGGAAATCCAGCAAAATCCAAAGCAGGATATCTGCCACTAAAACAGTTCTGAGCTTTCAGCACTGCAGTCTGTCAGATCGCTGCATACTGACCTTTTCTGATTTAACTTTGAGGCCAATCTCATTGACTGCACTGAAGGGGTGACCAGCTGGACAATGCTAGGCTCGGGGCCCTGTATAGGGACAATGATGGTAATGTCAATGGACTAACAAGCCAGAGGCTGAGACTAATGCTCAAGGTACATGGGTTCAAATCCTAGCTGGTAGAATTTAAAATTTGATTAATCACAAAAACTAGAATTGAAAGCAAGTAATGGTGACCATGACAACTATCAGCAATTGTCATAAAACCCCCATCTGGTTTATTAATGTGCTTTAGGGAAGGAAATCTGCCCCTCCCTTGCCTGGTTTGGCCTCCATATGACTCCAGATCACAGCAATGAGGTTAACTCTTAAACTACCACTTAGGTCAAAGGCAACTGGGATGGGCAACACATGCCCAGCTTATCAGTGAGATGGACGTTTCATGAAAGAATTAAAAGCAAATTTACAACCAATCACATCGGAATGTGGTATTTGTGTTTAATTGTGGTAAATGTGTTTAAAAGAATATAAAGTGTAACAAACTAGGCTATTCAGCCCATCGAGCATCCCTGCCATTCAGTAAAATCATGGTTGATCCTCAACCTTAACGTTACCTTTCGAAGGTACCTCCATATCTCTGGATATCCCTTGATATGCAAAAATGTTAACTTGAATCTGTCTTGAACATGCTCAATGACTGAGCATCATTATCATCTGGCACAGTGAATTCTAAAGATTCATTATCCATTGAGTGGAAAAACTTCTCCCCATCTCGTTCTTAAATCGTCAAGGTCTTGAGACTGTGACCCTTAGTTCCAGATTTCCCTGCCAGCGGAATATCCTCCCAACATTTACTTTGTCAAATCCTTTAGCAATTTTGTATTTTTTTCTCTGTGAGATCACCTCTCATTGCTCTAAGCTCTAGACGACATAGGTCTAGTGTACTCAATCTCACAGGGACAAGCACTTTAGGTAACAGGCTAGTCTTGTTGCACTCCTTCTAAAGCGATTATATCCTTCCTTAAGTAAAGAGTCTAATACTGCAAACAGTGCCCCAGAACTTACTGAGGCCCTGCAAATTCCAGTGAGTCTTCATTCTTACACTTTCTAATACATCAAATCATTTGCTTTCCTAGTTGCTTGTCATGTGTACCCAACTTTGTGTTTCATAGCACCGGACCCTAAGAATACCAGCCTTTCCCAGTACCTCACTTTTTAAAACAAAATCGGCTCTTAGTTTTCTCTCCAAAATGGATAACTTCTTCTTGCACGGGATGTGGGCATTGCTGCTAAAGCCAGTATTTATTGCCCATCCCTAATTGCCCTTGATGGGTTGCTGGGTGATTTTCAGAGGATAGATAAAGGCCAACCATGTTGTTGTGGGTTTGGAGCCACGTGCAAGTCAGATGGCATGTGTAAGGATGGCAGATTTACTTCTAGCTTTTAATAGTGTATCCAATTATATTACATCTGCTACACTCTTGCTCACACCCTTAACCTTTCTTTATCTCTTTGCAGCTTGTTTGCATCCTCTTCATTATTTATTTTCTGTGTGAAAGCTTTATACAGCCAAATAAAAAACAACTATGGGTGCTGGAAATCAGAAACAAAAACAGAAATTGCTGGAAAAACTCAGCAGCTCTGGCAGCATCTGTGGAGAGAAATCAGAGTTAACATTTCGGGTCAAGTGACCCTTCTTCAGGACTGAAGAAGTTCTGTAGAAGGGTCACTGGACCCAAAACATTGTAGAATGAACCTTCATTGTAACTTGGATTTGTATAGTGCCTTTCATGCCCTCAGCACATTGCAAATTGCTTCATGGCCAATGAACACTTACAGCAAAGAACTCCATCTGAAGTACACTTGCGTAAAAGTCACGAGTTATCCAAATGAATAGTACAGGTGGTTGGAGATGGAGGGGGTCTTGTCGGGCTTGGGTAAATTACAGAGACAAAAAGAGATGCAGGAATTTAAACATACAATAATTTTAAATTGGAGGTGTTTGGACAGCAAGTTTCAAAAAAGGGTTGTTAGATGAGTAAGTATTGGTGCAAGTTGGATTAGAGACAGTAACAGGGAAATGAGTTACCAATCACAGAGCATGGAGCTTGGGATGGGAACAGGAACTGATTAAAATAGTTAAATTTGTGACAGAGGCACCAGGAGCCTCTCAGCCTGGAGCTGGGCTGACATACAGATGGGAGCTGGTAATGTTACTGAAGTGAAAGTAGGCAGGCAGTCTTTGTGATGGGATTGGAAGCTCAGCTTCACGTTTGATAGGTTGCCAACAGCCCACTTTGGCCTGGGCTAGAGAAGAGGGATCGAATCCTTAGGAAGGGCTGAAAGGCACAACTTAAGTGCCCCCAGCATTTAACTGGAAGAAATTAGAGGTCATCCAACATTAGAATCTGAACATAGTGGAGAAAGTGGAGAGAGATAGAGATGTGGGGTTGACTGCTTTCATAATACTGCTGACAAGCTGAAAAACTGACATCTTTTGACACGATTTCTTCTTACTCTTAAGCGTGTTTTCTATGAACATGAATGCACTAAGTGCACAAGTTTGAAGCTAACACTAATATACAACTTAGGGCACAAATTGGCACCTGCAGCAATTGTAGTTCTTCGCTACAGTCAACCACAGTACATTATTTCCAATGCCAATAAGTCAGGGTAGGGTAATATGGCAAATTATATGGCAGGAGACTATATTTTATTCATTTGCTGCACAACCTTAAATGTAATGAAGGGAATATATCTGTACACTGTCAGTCAGTTCTTCTTGATTTGTTTTATACTTCAGAACTGTTGCTAAGAGGCAGCCTGGGGTTAGGCAATTTTTTGGTGTGGAGTTTCTTGCGTCAGTTCTGCTCCTGTAACTTCACACCTACAAAGATGGTCAAATGTGGACTGCATTTCCATAGCTTCCAGGGATGTGAGTGAGAATGGCTGTTCAGCTCGACACTAGGGTGGCCTCCAGAATGACTGACCCTTAAACCTTCCCTGTCTGGCAACCTGCGCTCAGCACACTCACCATAGACACTGTGGTCAGGCTCGAGAAGCTGTTATCCAGGGGGTACCACCTACACCTTTTTTAGAAAAATAAATTGTGGATTGGATGCAAGGGTGGCAGCCAAAGGGAAGAAGAAAACCACTTCAAGAAAGGGGTTGGGGTGTTTTCTAAGGCTGTGGTGCCATAGTGACTGCTGGCAACACTGACTATAAATTCCTGGAATGCACTGACCACAATTTTCCAACCATTAATGCTAGCAGTGCAGAGTTGTACAATCGCCCCTATTAATGCCATAACTCATCATTTACATGGCATCCAGTGCAGTATAAACCAACAGTGTGAGTTTGCAGTAAGAATGTAAGAAATAGGAGCAGGAGAAGAAGCGCTCGACCACTCAATATGATCAAGGCTGATCTTTGCCTTTACCTCCACTTTCCCACTTGCTACCCATAATCCCTTGATTCCCTTAGAGAGAGCAAAGATATGAATGTCCCAACCTTCAATGGTTCCACAGCTCTCTGAGGGAGGGAATTCCCAGGATTCACAATCCTCTGAGTCCCTCACCTCAGCCCTAAGTGATGGTTGCCTCACCCTAGAACTGGACCCTCGTGTTTTAGGCTCCCAAGCCCAGAGTAAGGAACCTCACAGCGTTCATGCTTTCAGGCGCCTTCAGAATGCTTGCACATTTCATTGAAGTTGTCTCTTGTGCCTCTAAATGCCAGAGAATTTAAGCCCCGTTTACTCAACGTCTCATTAAAGGGCAAACCTCTCACTCTGGGAACGCATCTTGTGAGCATCCACTGTACACCACCATGATCCATTACCCACTGGGCAATTAGGTGACAGGCAATAAATAATGTCTTAGCCAATAACGGGCCCATATCCTGTGAATTAATGTAAAAAAGATACGGTGCCCCACGACCGGCGTCAACGATAAAATTATTCAAAATACTTTGGTGGCAGAATCCATGTGATTTAAATTCCTATTCAATATTAATAAGGGCTGCTAGTCCCACCATGTCATTCCCATTCGCAGTGAAACGGCTAGGACTGATAGCACCGATATTCCTGACCCCATTCCCTTTCTGTAAAGTTTCCCGTGGTGTCACAATGAATTGAGGAATAGGAAAGAGAGAGAGAGACATTGAAGTATGTGATTCCTGCTCAAACAACAACAACCTATATTTATATAGTGCCTTTACCATAATAAAACGTCCCAAGACACTTCACAGGAGGATTATAAAACCAAACACAGCATGAAGCCGCAAAAGGAGTTATTAAATCAGCTCATTAAAAGCTCAGTCAAATTTGTATGTTTTGAGGAATATCTTCATGAGACAAAGAGAGGTAGTGAGGTGGAGAGCTGTAGGAAAGGAATTCCAGAGCCTTGGTCCTCAGCAAGGGAAGGGGCAGTCATCCAGGACTGACCAGTTAAAGTCAGAGGCCAGAATTGGAGGAGCTGATGCCTCAGGGGTTGTTGGGCTAGGGGAGATTCCAGAGAAACGGATAGATGCAGCCAGGGAGGGACTTATAAATGAAGATGAGAATTTGAAAATCAAGACACAGTTCATCAAGGAGCC